AGAAGAACATAGAGAATATACAATATTTTATACATAATAGGATTAAGAAAGGTTATAAGTGAATAACAAACTAATTCCACAAATTTGTTTTTGGTATTCTTTCGTTGTTTATGGAATAATATAAATGGATGAATTATATATGTCCTTGTCCTATTTGTAGTAGGTTAAACTTATTTAGACAAATCACTGCCATTTCATTGATGATGACAATGGTTAATTAACTTGGATAAGCATAGAATTGTCAACGCAAAGATTTTGTTCTTAATGTAGTAGAAAATCACAGATAGCCATCCATGTAGATAAGGAAAATACATTTTGATATTTTGATAACAACTCTGAATGTCCTGAAAAAAGTTTCTTTCTTGGTACTTTCTCACTTGCTATTGAGTCTATTCCATTTATATTGCTTCATCGTGTAAAATGCACTTAAATATATTTTCCATTTTGCAAGGAACGTATCAGAGAACTGGTGGTCGTACGAAACAGGTGTGTATGACGCAAGTACTCAGATGGAAAGACTCTGACTTGAGTATTAAAAACCATGAAAACGGAAAACAAAACTTTAGTAGTTAAAGTTGTAGAATAGTTCTTTAGACCATTTTGACCATTTTAAAATGGACATCACAATTTTTCTTGTTGCTATACTTTCATGAACATAATTATGTCCATACAACGTGTCAATCCTCTTAAAATAAATAATCGAACAAAGTGAAAGACAACGACGAGTTTTATAACATTTAACAAAACTATTTATTTCCCTAAAAAAAAAAAACAACGCAAAGAAGAGAAAAAACAACTTACGGTATTGCAAATTAAATCCCAAATTAATCCAAGAATTACAAACACTACCACTGCCACAGATCTTTTGTCCGATTTTTCTTGAGAAAAGACTAAGTCGACTCCGTAGAAACCTTGAGTAGTGTTCCTTCGTTAAAAGGGAACTTGTAGAAAATGGCCAGACAACTGTCATAAAAAGAAGGACAGGCTATAGGCGTTCACCCGGTTGTGTAAAGAAACAGTATCAAGATACGCAATTTTAGTTTCAATTTTTAATATTCTATATCATGTGTTTGGTTTGTTTACAAATGTGTTGATATGTTTATGATTCACGCATGTATTGTATTCATTTCGTGAGTCTCTATTGATATGTTAGTTTTATGTCATTTAACTTGATTTTACAATTGTTAGTTCATGGACAGAATTGACGGATTGCATGTAATTAAATCTTCAATGTGTAGAATTTAATATGGATTTGTGAATTAACCCTATTATAAGTGTGTCATATTTCTTATGATATATGAATTGATTCTCTGAGTAGGATGATATTTTTTATTGCGAGCTAACGACAAGTGTATATTTATATATGGCTTCGTAATATTTAAATGACCACGCAAGTTACTTTAATGTAGCTAGATTTAGTGGATATTATGCCATAAGTAATTGAGCATTTATTTTGTTGAATTGCATTGACATTCTAAAACATGTAAACGAAACGTGTATGCTGGTATATACAGCCTCATTTGTCTGTAGCAAGCACGTGGGAATTTATGATGACTCGAGCACTGAGTGAAATCAACTTCGAGAAAAGGTCATTCTAAAGTAACGGTTCTTCCCGAAATACAGAACTTGTAAAAGTTCACATTTCAGGATTTGTACAGTGAGTCTCTCTCTCTCTCTCTCTCTCTCTCTCTCTCTCTCTCTCTCTCTCTCTCTCTCTCTCTCTCTCTCTCTCTCTCTCTCTCTCTCTCTCTCTCTCTCTCTCTCTCTCTTTAATATATATATATATATATATATATATATATATATATATATATATATATATATATATATATATATATATATATATATATATATATATATATATATATATATATATATATATATGTATGTATGTATGTATGTATGTATGTATGTGTGTGTGTGTGTGTGTGTGTGTGTGTGTGTGTGTGTGTGTGTGTGTGTGTGTGTGTGTGTGTGTGTGTGTGTGTGTGTGTGTGTGGATGATTGAATTTGTCTAGCGTGAGCCATACTATATATTTAAGGAAGCAACTTCATACTCCGAGAGGAACGAGAAAGCAGGGATAATTCAAGAAACCCGATGTGTCAAGAGGGACACCACATTTATGAGAGGCCGGAATAGTCAAGGGTAGGAAAGAATGCCAAAGCACACACACTGGACGTGGGAAACAAGACGGGAAGAGACATTACTTCAGGTGATGCTATCTATGTGTGGGAATTGCACTCAGAATTCAACACTCGTAATATGATGTAAAAGGGATAGTGAGTGATGTGTCGAATTTTCGAAAACTCTTAGAAGCATTGTTTAAATTAATTGTACCAAAGTCAACTTAATTAAAGGAAAAAGGGCTAGAGACAGTTATATGATTATTTTCATTTGATCTCTGAACATCAAAGGTAATTCGTTCCACGCGACAAAATTTGACCGAATCAACTGCTATGTTACAAGGGTTTGACATAACCCTCTTTTCAAAATCAACCGGTTAAAAAGGGAAGCTTATCAATAATTGATTATTCAAAGGAACGTTAATTACAGCGTCATTAGCTGTCTTGACAATCCAAAATTCTACGGAGATTTAGGAAACAGTCGATTCTGATTGGTTAATAGAGATTTATTAGCGTAACTTTGTAAGGAATTGAGGGTTTTGCTTTGGAAAAATTCTTCAGTCTTCAATCTTTCTTGAGAGAAGTTAGACGGGACTCCGGAACGTAGAAAGTACGTTTTTGTTATTGAGCAAGGGGCCGGATAATTGTCTCAGATAGGAGACGGACTATACCTTTGAGGTTCGTAGAAGACGAATAAGAAACGGCAATGGAAAGAGCTTTCATAAACTCTCCTGAGATTCCTGAGATTTCCTGAAAATTCCTGTACCAATTCCAAGTATCAGAGCAAATTCTGAGCTGTAGTCTAGGTCTAGGTACGATCGTCAAATCAAGGTTTGACTGGCAAGAGTCCAGGTCCAGACGACTAGACAAAGGTTGGCAGAGCAGGGACGAACCGAAGACTCGATGCCCGGTTAAGATAAGTGATGATGTCGCTCTTCATTGCATTCAAAGGTCACATCTCGTAGGCAATGACGAATTGAATTAATTCTGTCACTGACAAGTAAAGCAACAGTGAGAAAATTTGTATTGTTTTTTTTATTTGAGTACGTGTTAGTACATTTTTCCTTCTTTTGTAACCAAATAATTGATTTCTTTTCATTTTTAAATTCTGTTGTTAAAATGATTAAACTTTATATTTGTTGATTAAAAGGGGGCTCGTTGTGTTAATTTCTTCAATATACTTGTTCAGAGATCTGCATTCTTCTTTCTATCTATCCACACTGGGTAAATTACACCGCGGAGGTCATTCCCTAGCAATGAATCGTAGTGGAAGAGGTTGGTGTGTTTTAAACCCCACCAATTTATCACAGTGTGACTAATTTCTGTCACGGTGAATCGGTTGGATAGGAGAGTGAATTTTAATTATTCATTAATTGTTTGAAAAGTAAAATTTGGCTATGGATTGAGTTCATTGAATTTGGTAAATCTGTGGACGAAACGTGATTTTCTTTTGATTATATATTAATTGATTAAAATTATTATTTTTTATTTAAAGGGGCTTGTTGTTATTTATTTATTTCGATAATTTGCTCAGTCATCTGTAACGTTACATCTATCCGTCCACACTGGGCAATAACACGGTGGGAGATCATTCCCTAGCTAACGAAGCCGAATCAATTAAGGAGGGGTTTAATGATTTTAAATGCCCCCTTTACAAGAACTTTTTTTTCTTCTTTAAAATCCAGTCAGATGCAAAAAGACGAAACTGTACATGGCCACATTATGAGCCATGTAATTTCTTATCAAACTGAAGAAAACGGCCCATTTTTTTTCCTGCGTGCGAATTGATACGTTTTTATCGGCGACATCAGTGGGTCAACCGATATAAATCGAAAGCTGTTACACATATGATGATGTCATCGTAGTAAACAGGAGAAGCCAGCACCACGCTATGTCGGATACAGTAGGTGATCCTCATAAGAAAAGCTATTCTCATTTTACTTTTGATATTTATGCAGTACCTGACCTAAAATTTACGAGTACTTTTTTTCCTAGAAAGCATAACTGACCTACATTATTTTCACAAGACTGTAGCTAACGATAACCAATTAATAAGAACATCCGCAACATTTGGGTTTGTCTTCAGCCATAGAAATTGTTCCAGCTCCCCAACTCGTCACCAATATTTATCCGAGTCTTATAATTTTTTTTTTAAATGCCCGTTAGCGACCTACTTCTCTTCATTCTCTCAGCTTGATTTTTTCTGCTACATGATTATGTTGTTGTCATTAGATTAAACATTAAAGGATCTTTTAGCAAGTCTGACATCATTTCTTTTGGAGTATTCTAAAAAAAAAAATTACAAACGAGTTTGGCTGGTGAAGCAATTAAATTTAAACCTAAGATTTAAACATTGTTTAAACCTAACAACTTTATCCTTTGTGTGTATGTGTAATCTAGATTTTTACCGTAGCTTTAACAATTTTTCATTCATATTGCTACGATGTCTGCAATGAAAAAGTTTATAGCGACGTCCCACCCAGTCACATTACCCTGACTCCAGGTTGACCAGTTCTAACACTAACCTCTTAATGCGGATGCGAGAGGTCGCGGGTTCCATCCCCAGTCGAGTCATACCAAGGACTTACAAAAATGGTACTAACAGCTGCCTTGTTTGACGCTCAGCATTAAGAGATTAGTGTTAAAACTGGTCGGCCTGGTATCAGGATAATGTGACTGGGTGGCACATCATGCAACATACTTGCGGCATGATGCCCCAGTGCTAGACATCACTATAAACTACCACACTGCAAACATGGTAGTGAATCGTTAAAGCTATGTTAAAATTCATAATCACACACATACACATCACACCTCCTAATTCTGGGCGCCAAACGAGGCAGCTGTTAGTACCATTTTTTTAAAAGGCTTTGGTATGACCTGACTGGGGTTCAAACCCACGACCTCCCATATCTGAGGCGGACGATCTAACCACTAGGCCAACGAAGTTGTCTAACTATTGTGCACTTCAAATGCCAATACATAATTTAAGATGTATCTATTTTAGAAATAAGAATGATAGGAACTTTGTAGCTAATGTATCGATAATCATGGAATATATGTACAACAGAGAAAACCGTTGGATATTTATGGCTGTTTTCCAGTATTAAGAGTTGTCCTGGATAAAATGTATATCCATATTTAAGGATTGAGAGGTTCATCTATACAAGTTTAATCTGGATTTGAATAGAGAAAAAAAACTTACAGTATCTACCCCAATAGTATGAATAAACTGAACAAAGAACATAACCTTGTTACAATTCCTAAGAAAATGGATTTTATTGAGCCAATATAGTATGTAAGAAACAAACACAATCATACAATCATCAGTGAGACTGGCATTTATTAAATGTTTGTCTAAACTTTGTAAAAAAAAAAAGGGAACAACTCGAGTTTTTGTTAAAAATATTCCCTTGTGTCATTGCAAGGTTTGAACCAAGCAAATCATGCAATCCACAGAAGTTTTATTCAACTTCTGTAAAAATGCATTAACTTAAAAATTTTAAATCTAAATATATTTTGTTGTTTAAATCTGTTTAACAAACAGACCTTCTTAAATAAACATATATAACAAATTCCAAAAGGATATTATATCTTGTTATATTATTAATCAATTTGGTCAGTCAAATAAAGTACAAAAATGCTTGTGCACTTCAAGATATGTAACTGAAGATCTGTACAAAGCGAAAATATGCAAAGTAAAACTTGGACAGTCAGGTGTACCATTACTAAAGAGCTTAAAGTTAAGCTGCTTCCAGCCCTAGAGAGTTAAGGCCAGGTTAAAAGACTGCCTGAGGGAGTTTGTGCTAGCCAGGAATCCTGCCACAAAATGGACAAACTGTGGACATCCTTAGAATGTCAGGACATGGGAGCCCCAGTCATATAAAGCGCCCTTTAATTCACTATACAGTGAAGAAGCCACTGAATGGCATACCTTTACAGTGTATAAATCAAAAGAGAGTGTGCATGTAACAGTGAGAAATCTATAAGAAGGCACACATATATAGAAGAAAGCCATTAGAGGAAAAATAACTTAATGCAAGGATTTTCAGCAAACCATAAAGTGCTTTTAAGAACTTCAAGAACAGTCAATAACATTAAAAAATGTAGAGTTTGTCTGTACTATTCAGCAATACATTTTTTAACATCATCATAATCATTTACTTAAATCATCTTAGTTATTTTTTGTGTGCCGTCTCCATGTTCTTCAAAAGTAGCATACCCACCATTCTCTTCATCCTTTCTGTGGCAAGCATCATTTCTTTCAGAAACATCTTCTGAGAGGGTAAAATACTTTTGATAAAAAATCTCATTAAAAGATGGATGAAAGAGCTAAACTGAGAATTTTCTAGAAGAACATGGCCAAAAAAAAGATATTCAGGGTGTTTTTGCTACAGTTAAACATATTGGTTAAGATAATTTTTCTGCCTTGTACATTAACATCTGAAGTATTAGTTGAAGAATGACTGGTAAATTACCTTGTAAAGTATTGTTTACTATTGTTTGAACTTTTACCATTAGTGCTACTAAATTAAAGGTAGATAACTACTGTATGGTCGAATCATTTTTTTATCCGGCTGTGTTGCCTCCCTTAACGTACTAATTGTTATCTGCTATACATAAATGGATTTTATATTGACCTAATATAAATGGCATAATATTAATGAATTAAATCTTGAATTATGCCAATATGTATGTATAGCATTCATGAACAAATGCCTAGCCTATAAAATTAATAAACTTAAAAATGATTAATACAAAAGCTACAAAACGTTTTACAAAGACTGTTCTCACTAGATTAGCCACTTAAGTCATGTAAGTATTTTAAGTCTTCTTTTAACTGATATGGTAACTATCAAATAATGCGAGGTTTTGACTGCAAAAGAAAATTAATTACATAATGAAAAATAATTTTAAAAAACTTTGCCAAAATTTCCAGTGAATGACTAAGTCTCAAGAAGTTTAGTTCACTGATTTTATTGCTTTGCTAACCAAACAAGAAATGAAACATGAATAGAATCCATTTCGTTAAGAATCACTACAATGGTTGTAGTTTTTTTTGTCACTGCATTAACAATATACAATGAACTGATGCAATTGCAAATGGTACTCTAAAACACAATGGTTTAATTTGGGAAAAGATTTCCTTGGTATTCAAAATTATTTATTTCTTGTATGCTATGTGTGATAAAAAAAATTTCAACAAAACATCAAAACGTTAAAACCAGAATGGTGCATTCATGAGTCACTGTCTGTAATGATAACTTCCCAAGTTGTTAAAGAGAATAGTAAACAATGTAATCATTTTGTATATGAGACAAAAGATTATTTCTTTCATCAAATAGCACTGAAACAAAAACTTGAAACAGGAAAAATATATTTTCTTAAAGATGAGATAGTGTTGGGTTAAAATTAAATATAAATATGAAGGTATGGGAATGGTTTGAGATATTCACTGTGAAAAAAAAAATAAACATGATAAATATGACAATCAAGAAAATAAAATAGCATGTAAAAACTAAATGAAAAAGACATTTCAACAAATTAATATTTTGCGGTCATAAAATATTACATGAAAAGCTGAAAAATACAATTACAAGACAATGATTTCTCCCATAAAATTAATTATGGCTCACAAGAAAATTATATCTGGCTATTTTGTGTAGGTTTACAAGATAAATGAAAGCAAAATGAAAAGAACACATGCTATTCACAATTGATTTCTTATGAATTATAGCATCACAATCCTCAACAATTTCATGCTAAATTTATACTTTACACACTTTCAGACATTTAGTAAAATTGAGAACACAAATATTCTTATTTAATTTGAAATGACTTTGGATAATGAAATACCACAAACATTAAAACAATATTTTCCAAATTCTAGCATGAAAATCTTTACAACATATTTACCTCAAAGCTATATGAACATAATTAATACATAAAAATAAAGACAAATATAAATTGTAAATAATCACAAATTCACATATAATCTTTGCATCTTTTCGCTTTTGTAATTAAATGTATCCTAAAATTACTCAATTCATGAGCAAGCTAATTTTAAAATTGAAATCATGTTCACAGAAATCATGTTAAATTTTTACTCTAATGGAAAATAAAACCTAATAACAAGCAGATTATGAAAGACGTTCCTCAACTTTTCTAGATTAATAAGAATTTCTACCTTACAAACCTTAAAATGCATTACATAAAGAGCACTCATTTTCAGTGCTTAATTAATCATGGTATTTGCTTTCTTCTTTAAAAAATATACTGACTGTAGGAGATATGGTCCAAATAGGTAAGTAACCATCTCCAACTCAAAAGGACCACAAATTTCAAAATCAATAAATATTTACAAAACTCTGTTCATAAGACCTCTTCTAGATGCCCACCCAATTGGCAATTTACAGATTTGGACAAATGACACATACATAAAATTCATGTGTCATCCACTTAATTGTTACCAAAGTTATCTTCAAATCCACTGAATTAGACAAGCCTATTATTTGAACTTTTATACATCATATGCCATTAAGCAAGTCTTTTCTTCATGAAGATTTACTGTATCACATATTAGTCTCCCCTTACACATCTGGAATGGAATGATCCATCAACTTCTTCACTATGCTATTTCCCATGCTGAAATTAAAAGAGAGATGAATACAATAAGTTGAATAAACAAGCTTGAAATGTGTTTACAATAAATGACTGCCTACCACTGTGTCTGAAAATTGATATAAATACAAAACTTAACCAAGGTATGACCAAATGATGAATCGAAAGATAATGGTACAACAATATATCTCTTCCACTGTCATGCTGATGCATATTAAATTAATTATAATTCTACACTTGCATCCTTTGAGTTCATTCATCATCTCTTTCTGGTCCATTATCATACAAATTTAACTTTTCAAGACAGCCATACAGAGCAAAAGAAAAAGACTAAACATCTTTTAAAAAGAACCTTTTGCTAGAATTAAATGGAAAAAAAAATCCCATTAATATTGCTGATATAAAAATAAAGTCCCCTAATATGAAAAAGAAATGTACTGAATATGCATTATAATACAATATCAAAGACCCCATGAGTACAAAAGAATTGGATCAAGAACTAGATGTTTTCATAAATATTTAAAGATCATCTACACAAGACTGAGCACATTTTTTTTAACCACTAGTCCAGGACAAGTGGTTTCAAAAAATTCAAAAGTCCCACCTTACTCTTCATTAGTCCCACCTTACTTTTCACTGGTCTTAAAATGGCAATCACTTAACTAGTTTTAATGAAATGTAATTGCAAAACATCTTTCCTTCCAAGTCTATATATTCATGCCAGGGATAACAATCAACCCAAAGCAGCTGAAAATTTCTCTGCCTCTTATTAGTGTTATATTTGTTATTTTTTGCCATCACAGATTGTGGCTTATGTCTCTTTGCAGAAATAGGTACCACACACTCAGTATCCATCTTACATTTTATCCATCCATTTTCAAACAAATTTACCTTCTCCAAATCGTTAATACCTTCCTTACGAAAATAGTTTAGCAAACTCATTTTATCCTCAGAGTATCTATCAACTTGCTTGATAACTACTTCTAAAGTGATCATAACATCAATTTTCTCATTTAAACACGAACTGAAACAGTTCATTAATTATCGTACTTGTTTCATTTCATTTCCAACACAATATTGCACATGGAAGTTAACCATCTGTATAATCAATTACAAATTAAAGAATCATTACTGTCATTTAATCAATTCATAAAGGAAACCAACATTGATGTCGGTAAAATACCTATCATTAACTTAATTACACTGATTCACTGAATTAAAATCATAGTGAGTTGCTTGTTGTAATCTAGTCCAAGTTTCCTCTGACCCTTGCCACCCCATTTTTGATATTTGGACATTTATGTTGGGGTGTAGGGTTAGAGTCGATTT